TTGTTGTTGTTGTTGTTAAGTGCCGTTGAGTCGGTTCCAACCCATAGCGACCCTGTACAGGGTTTCCGAGGGTGTAAATCTTTACAGGAGTAGAAAGCCTCATCTTTCTCCCGCGGAGCAGCTGGTAGTTTTGAACCGCTGACCTTAAGGTTCGCAGCCTGATTCGTAACCACCAAGCTACCAGAGCTCCTTCTACAAAAATTCCTGAGCTATGTATGTGCCCTCTGATCTCCCCTTCTTTTAGTCATCTATGATCTAGAAAAGGTCTGTCTACAAGAATCCAGTATGAAAAAAAAGCAAAGGAAACTAAAAAAGTACAGACATAAATGGATCACCAACAAAAGACCAATAGAAATTTCAGATAAAAAGAAAGACTAAAACAATTTTTCCAGAGAATTTCATTATTTTAAAAAATGGATCTGATAATAAGATGCACCTTTGTAATTCTCTCTGACCTTTTTCTCTGAAACTAGAATTCAAAACAGAATTCAATATTTCCCTAATATCAATCAGGAAATGGTAATGCAGTGGTTCTAAACGATAAGCATTGGGCTTCAAACCACAAGGTCTGAGGTTCGAGCCCACCAGCTGCTCCGCAAGAGAAAGATGAGGCTTTCTGCTCCCATGAAGATTTAAAGCCTCTCAGAAACCCTACATAGGATCGCTATGAGTCAGGACCGACTCAATGGAACTTAACAACAACAATCAGGAAATACATAGTATTTATATTTAAAATGTACTTAGTTTGATCATTCCTAAGTTTCTTTTTCATTTAAGGAGCTTCCTTTTTTATTAACACAGTTGTAATAATGTGAATAAATAGAAGGCTGTGCCAGTAAGTAAAATAAAATAAAAGGAATGCAATTTGAGTCTCTGGAGGATGCCAAAAATGATGCTTTGATGTGGTGTAAATCTAAGAGCTCAGTATTCTTTAGGAAGGGTTTTGTTGTTGTTAAGTGCCATGCAGTGTAAACTGACCTTGTGGTCCAGTGCATTATCCTGCAGCCACAAGGGTTAGAAAGATGGAAACCCTGCCTTCAGATGTGTAGACACCTAGGTGAAGGATAGGTTGAGAAACAACAGCTTCACATTTTGATATTTTTGTTTAACAAAGTGTGCTAAGATTTTTTTTTAGCAATACTTTTTGACTCATTCTCATTCGGTTGGCCCTCTATAATCTGTGGGTTTTATATCCATGGATTCAACAACCACGGATTGAAAATGTTTTTTAATTCTAGAAAGTTCCAAAAAGAAAAACTTGAATTTGTCATGTGCTGAGCATGATACTAAGCCCATCTCCTTCCAGCACTGCGTGTTTGTTCTGTTCACCTCACATTTCATTCATTTAATACTTGTATTGGACGCATCCTTTGTTTCCGTGGGGGAAAAAATGGCTCCTAAAAATCAATTCAGTAATCAAAGTATCCCTCAAAGGCTAAGAGGAAGCATAAAGTGCTATTTACATAGCATTCAGACTATATTAGGTATTACAAATAGAGATAACGTAAAACATAAGGGAGGATGTGCATAGGCTATATGCAAAGACTATGCCATTCTATATAAGGGACTTGGGCAACTGCAGATTTTGGTACCTACGGAGGGTACTGGAACCAATCTCCTGTGGTTATTCAAAGATGACAGTGCATTTCTGCAGACAAGGAAGGCAAACAAATATGATAGTGTCCATTGAGAGAAGGCTCCCTATTACATATTTCCTGAAGTCCGTGTTATACAGTCTAAGTGAAAAGCTGTTAAAATACTTCTCTGGTACACTTAACGAAGCTCTTTATAGGTTCCAACATTAAGCAAAGCTATTCCAAATTGTTCTCTGATAGACTAAGTGATTCTGAAGTTCTCTCATACTCATAACAGAAAATGCGTGTCATTCTCTTCATTAAAAAGCACTGAAGTATAAGACACAGATCTTGAGCATGGGGTGTTTGTAATTTGTGCAGTGAGATGGAGCAGACATGTGAAAAGAGAATGAAATCAGTTGTTATCAAGTTGGCTCCAACTCATAAGGACTCCATGTGTGTCAGAGTAGAAACTTGCCCCATAGGGTTTTCAATGGCTTAAGTTTTGGAACTAGATCATCAAATCTTTCTTAGGAGTCTCTGAGCAGCCTCAAATATCTATTTACCCCAAAACAATTGAAATCAGGAATAAAAACAGAAACCTGCACATCAAAGGTCAATGTTGTTGTTGTTGTTGTTGTCAGGTGCCATCAAGTCGGAACCGACTCATAGCGACTCCATGCACAGCAGAACGAAACAATGTTCGATCCTGGGCCAACCTCACCACCGCTGCCACCCCCGAGTCCATCAATGATGCCACCTGGCCGATCCATCTCGTTGGAGGTCTTCCTCTTTTTCTCCGACCCTCCACCCTACCCAGCATGACATCCTTCTCCAACGATTGTTTCCTCCGGACTACATGTCCAAAGTAGGAGAGACGAAGCTTAGCCATCCTGGCCTCCAAGGAGCACTCTGGCTGCACTTCTTCCAAAACAGATCTATTGGTTCTTTTGGCAGTCCATGGCACCCTCAGTATTCTCCTCCAACACCACAACTCAAAGGCATCAATTCTTCTACGATCCTCTTTATTCACTGTCCAGCTTTCGCATCCATATGAGGCTATTGAAAACACAATGGCCTGGGTCAGGCGCACCCTAGTCCTCAAGCTGACATCTCTGCTCTTCAATACTTTAAAAAGTTCCTGTGCAGCAGATTTGCCCAGTGCAATACGTCGTCTGATCTCTTGACTGCTACTTCCGCGAGTGATATCAACAATCGCGGAAGGTCAATGTAGACGATTCATAATAGCCAACAACATATATAAATAACCTAAATGTCTAACTGTAGATGAACGGTTAAACAAAACGTGGTCTATACATACAACAGAATGGTTTGAGTCACAAGGTCGGGGGTTCAGGCTCACCAGCCACTCCTCGGAAACCCTATACAGGGTCACTGTGGGTCAGAACCAACTCCACAGCAGTTAACAATAACAACATAAAGAGAATAGACTCTTGGTGTGGCACTGTAGGATCAGCACTGGACCACAAGGTTGGCAGTTCAAACCCATCAGCTGCTCCTCTGAAACCCTATACAGTGTTGCTTTGAGTAGGAACCGACTGAAAGGCACTTAACAGCAATAACAACATAAAGAGAAATGAAGACCTACTACATACTATTACTAAAATGAATCTTGAAAACCCTATGCTGAGTGAAATAAAGTGGGCCTACAAGGACAACTATTGCATGATTCCACTTATATGAATCAGAAAAATATACAGAGATCCTGGTGTGACACTGTAGGATAAGCACTGGACTACAAACTGCAGGGTTGGTGGTTCAAACTTACCAGCCACTCCTACGAAACTCTACTCAGGGTCACTATGAGTCAGAACCACTTAACAACAACAACAAAGCTTATTAGTGGTTGAGATAGAAGAAAGTGGAAACTGAGGGTTCATTGCTTACAGGACATTGAATTTCTATTTATGGTGTTAGAAGAATCATACGGAAAAGGATAGAAGCAATAGTTGTACAATATAATGAACAAAATCAATGTCACTGACTTGTATGTGTACAAATTATTAAATTGATAAATGCTTTGTTATATATATATATCTTTACCACAATTTAAAAACATGTAAAGGTAACAAGCACAAAGTTAAATGTATTCTAAATGCAAATGAGAAGAACAAAATATAAGACTACAGGATTTCTAAGAAGTCTTCCGAAAAGTTGGAAAATCTAAATACAAACATCTCTGAGTATACCTGAACGATAACCACCATGGTGATTATGATTCAAAAATATAAATATTCAGCAGGTACGAAATCAACACTGTATGCCTCAATTTATATGCTAGTGGAATACCATGAGATTCCAAGTCATCAGGAAGAAATTATTCTAAGACTTGACTCAAACTATACTAAGACTTGAAATGAATTATATAAATGGCCCTAGCAACTTATCCCACACAAAATGACTATATTGAAATATACATATAAACTTCAAATATGTGTGCTTTGTTAAAATACATATTTATACCAATTTTTTTTTTTAGCTTCACAGACTATCGGAGTAAAAACAACAACTTAGCAAAAGCACTTATTCTCTAGCTGTTTCATTCTCTCTTCCAACATCCTTAGGAATGGTTTCCGTCCTATGCTTGAATACCTCCAGTGATGGGGAAAAAACTACATGAGGTACTTTTGTTTGTCTTTGGACATTCATCTATTTCATTCTACATAAAAGCAATATAAGTCTCAATGGGTAGGTTTTCAATAGGAAAAGAGCAAGTCAGATGTTTCCTAAATAGCTATAGAGGTCTATACAGCTATAGACTTTTCTTTTGCTCAGTGACACAGATAAATTGCAGTAGTCAGTAAGCCTCTGCAATACCATTCCTACTAATGAACATGCTCTTCAGGAAAATCACAAGAGAAATTAAGCAATATACAGAAAACCACAGCTATGTGAGAATTCAGTAAAACTACCTTGGAGACGATCTAGTCTTTTCTAATTCTACAGTACCTATAGTCATTTGTAACATTAAGAATGTTTCTGTGGCAGTATAAAGAGCCTAATCTACCAGTAAACACCCATTTACTGCCAATGGATTCTACCTACTGTGGTCAAAAGCATACCTTTTGGAAAAATGTTAAGCTGCTGCTATTTAAACAAAAAGGGTCTCTAGCTAGTTCATGCTGCATTAAATGTTCAATCACAGTTGAGTTTGATTATATTTGACTATTTGCCCCATTATCAAGATTTTTGAGTTATGTATACAATCAACATTCCATACAAACATAAGCTCATGCACAACTAACTGATTAAGAAATCACTTTGTTTGCTATCAATGTATTAAAATAGTAGCACAATTAAATCAACTAAATTAGGATTATTTCTATCTACAACCACCACCAAAGGGCAAAAGCAGGATAAAGTATTACCAGAAAAGGATAAGGTTATCTGTCGCTTGGCTCTTACCACTTGACCAGCCGACTATATCCTTGCTGTATCTCTGGAGTACTGCAGAAGATGGGCTTTCCAACTCACCTGTATTTTGAAAATGACACCCACAAATTCAACTTTCACCAAAAACTCACTTAATTCTCCATAATTTGAATTGTCCTTGGGAGGAATATTCTAAGACCACAACCCTTTACAGTAGAATTAGAAGGGTGTGGACTCTATCCATAGTAGCTGCTCACTGAGTATGTGGCTCAGAGAATTCTGACAATGCTACTCAGTAGTGGTCACAGAGATGAGTAGGACACAAGAGGTTACTGTACAATCCTGTAGCAAGCTCAGAAAAATGATGCTGAGCCCTCCCAAACATCAATCTTGTATTCTTTCACACTGCCAACACAACTATGGCCTGGATCCATCCCAGTGGTTGTTGCTAATTTACAGGTTTCTTTAGGCATACTGGACAATGACTTCTCTGCCACATTTTTTAAAAGCCCCATTTCAAAGTACTTTGACATGTATTATTGACAGCACAGCAGTACATGGTAGAGAACCTTCTCTTGGGAATGTATCATAGCAGGGAGATTAATACAGGGTCAGGAAACAGCCCTCCAGTGTACATATGTGTATGAATGCATACGAGAGGGGGAGGTGAGGGTGTGATTGGAGTGTGGAGCAGATTAGGAGGAAAAACAGTTAAGCAATAAAAACAAAGATCACTGAAAGAAGAGAGTGGGGAAGATCCGAGGTACACCAGGAGTAAATGAGATGTGAGCGGGAATAACCGCAGAGTTTTAAACCATACTTTACACTTCTGAACTAGACCTTCATTTCAGACATAGTGTAGTGTCTTTGTTTTCTTTTTGAAAGTTGGAAATTTGAGAAAGTGAACCCAAAAAGCAGTCGACACCACTTCTTCTTATCAGTGAAAATTATAAAGCAAGGGAGCTCTGGTAACGTAGTGGTTACAAATCGGACTGCGAACCACAAGGTCAGCAGTTCGAAACTACCAGCTGTTCCACGAGAGAAAGATGAGGCGTTCTGCTCCTGTAAAGATTTACAACCTCAAAAACCCTGTACAGGGTCACAATGAATCGGAACCAACTCCACAGTACTTAACAACAACAAATATATAAAGCACAAGATTTTACTCCCTACAGTTTCAGGTAAGAAAAACAGAAAAGAGTAAAATCCTCACTGAGTTGAAGCTTGACTTCTTCTGAGAACCAAGAAGACTGTTGACAGACAGGGAAGGAGAGAAACAGAGGAGTGAGGAAGTAGGAGTCCCAAGGGACAACATCTCTGGCCAGAGGACCAGAAAGTAAAGAAGGGTAAGGAAAGCATTCACTACCCTAGCATCTGTTCAGGCAAGGTTTTTCAGATAATGGTATTTCCCAAGAAATGAATAATCAAAATCCTCAGGAATGGCAAAAAAAAAATCATTCTGGAATAGTCTGAGACTGCCAATGAATACCCATACTCATAGTTAGAAAGTGCAGAGTTTCACTTGTAAGGTCACCTGGGGTTTGAAGATTGTGGTCACCAAATATTGTACAGTATTATTTCTATGAGTAAAATTCAGAGCACAGCATATTAGCTCTGGTTACCACTCAAATGTTCCAAAGTCTCCTTACATTTACTCCAAGGCACTCTCAGAAGATGTCTTATTGGCTTATTTCCCAAGAGAAAAGGTATAGGTTTTGTGTTTAAAATGTTTTCTATTGGTCCCTGTCTGGTTTCCTGAGAAGCAAGAAGCAAGAAATACAAACCAGATGTAGAAGTCTGGGTCTTTTAAGTATCTGACCCAGATATCATGAAATTCTATAGACTGTTGAAATTAGAATCAAGCACAGACATGACAGAAATGTGGCTGCAAATTTAGCATGATTAAAAACATTTTATTGAAATGTAAAAATTCAGTATTTCAAGACAAGTGTACGGCAAACTACTAGGTACACTAATTAAAATTCCGGTGTTTTATTTAACACAGCTAAAAATATAAGTGAACATGCATGATCCAGTGAGGAAAAAATTTCAAGGCAAATGTCATCACTAAGTTATGGTTTTGGGGCCATAGCAGATGTGGAATCTGCCTGAGATTCATCTAAAAATATTCATTAAGGTTTTTGCTAGAAGAAAAGCAGCATTACTTGCTTGGAGTGGTCTACAATTACACCTGAATTCCCTCCGTGAAGAACAAAGCAGACGATACTGGAAATATCTGCAAATGTGTACTACACATCATTTGAAAACCAGCCTTAACACTCTTTCTCCAATAACTGAGCACTGCTCCGAAAATAGGCCAGTTTCAGGTAAGCAAACGAAGCCTGGTTTGCACAAAATATCAAATAGTATGCACTGATTTAAAGAAACTCAGAACTCAACTCTGACTCTAGCTAGCTCCTAAGAATGAGCTCTAAGAATATCCACAGAACAAAACCAGAAATGAGTTTTTTCAGTGTTTGGATTTTTAACATATTGAGTTACTGTAATTGTACAGTAAATTTATAACTGCTCACTGACCAGCCCTTTCAAGAAATGTACATTTAAAATCACAGCCGATAAATCTGCTATCTTGTCCATAAGGGAAAACTAAAACTACCCCTACCCAAAAGCCACTTAGTAGGATCCTGAACATCACAAGTCACACTTACTGAATTTTTCCTCAGCTCTTGAGAATGGAAAGCAGCAAAGCTGGCCCATGGCACTGGTGCTGTATTTCTTTACCGGGATTTTCCTCCGTGGGTACCCCAGATAGAAACTGCAGGTTATTTATTGCACGGGTCTGCGAGCACGCCCCGCCTATTTCACTCCGTGGAGCAGTACTGAGAGCATGAAACGCAGAGCACAAGTCAGCGGGGAGAAAGGAAAGAGGAATTCACTGCGGTGAGCGCAAAGGCTCCACCTCCCAGTCTTCCAGTCCAATGCAACTGCTCTGTTTGGGGCTGGCAGTCAGTGGAAGAAGTGGCCATAAGCTAGCCAGATTCTCACCAAACTCTGCGCCCTCCGCATTAGACACATATCATGTGTGTATGTGGCGATCTGTATGTATCTTTAAGAAAGGTAACTGAGAACGACCCACCCACAGTGAGCCCGTTCTCCTATGGACAAATACAGTAGTTCCACAAGGAAATTCAAACCCCCCAAATCTTAGTTTTCTGCCAGCTATTTAAAGAGGAAGAGCCTTCTTTTATTCCCCAGGATATCTCTGTTTATTTGTTTGATGAATAGGGATATCAGGCATTGCACATCACTGAAAACATAAGTATGAAGTACCATCAATGACCTGGACAAATTACAAGAACAACAGAAATGACAGGGAAAATGGGGAGAAGAAAAGGTATGGTTGTTATTTGTACTTTACAGCATAGCTTTTGAACTGCTTTGTTTACCAACTAAAGCATTAATCAATACCATGAATTTTGAAATTGCAGCTTCAAACATGTCAACAGCCTAGAAAATTCCCCAAATCTAGAAGCATCACTGACAAAAAGATCAGGGATAGGACTTCTGTTTGACTGAAACCACAAGGTGGCTGAGGAAATCCAAGGGCAGCAAAAAACAAATTTCAAGAGGCAATCTGTTTTGAACTTCAGGATTGGAAACAACTGTTTTCTTGGAACTGTTTAAAATCTGTTAGCTTTTCTAGGGAATCGTCTTCCTTTATGATAGGTAGGAATGAAAGATTGCTCTTAGTGTTAGAAATTCCCTCCAAATTCTTACTTTACTCCTCTCCTTCCCAGATAGACACACACCTATTCATCAGGAGCTGGGTGGACAGAGCATCAGTGTAAGGAAAACTTCCCATGACTCTGAATGCAATATTTCTATTTTAGTGCTAAACAAAAGGATAATTTAGAAAAGTAAAAATAAGCAATTTTATAAATTGTATTAGAGTCCTGGTATGGCATCATAGTATAAGCATCAGACTGCTAATTGGAAGGTAGGTGGTTCAAACTCACCAGCCACCCTTGAAAGCCCTGTACAGATTCATTATGAGTGTGAATCAACTCTATGGCACTTAACAGCAACAACAAATATGTATGTTGTAGTTTTGCAAAATCCACGTGCTTAAGAAAGCCCTAAAATCTTTTCAATAGTCTTTTTTCAGAAGAATTATCCTTAAATTACATTCACTTTTTCAGAACACATACAAATTTAAATATTTTATTTTTTATTTTGCCTTGATTTATTTTTTATTTTGCCTTGATTTAAAGTGGACGCTATCATAAAATTAACATTACAATCTTACGTCAAATTTTACTTTTACAAATATATACAGCTTATTTTTTTTCAGCATATCAATTGACAACAATTTTCCAATACTATTCCATTTGTTGTTAAGTGCCATCGAGGCAGTTCCGACCCATAGCGACCCTGAACAGGGTTTCCGAGGCTGTAAATCTTTACATTACTGCCTCTCAAAAGGAGCTCTGGTAGTGTAGTGGTTATGAATCGAGCTGTGAACCTTAAGGTCAGCAGTTCAAAACTACCAGCTGGTCCGCGGGAGAAAGATGAAGCTTTCTGCTCCCATAAAGATTTACAGCCTCGGAAACCCTGTACAGGCTCACTATGGGTCGGAACCAACTCCAAGGCACATAACAACATAACAACAACAACAAACTGCCTCTCAAATTCATCAACACATGCATGAATACAGATACATTTTAAAAATACAAAATAAAATTCTGCATATAAATGCAAAATAGTCCTAAAAGCAAGAATATAATAAGAGACTTATTAGGATGAGAAATAAATGCTCAATAGTCTTCGTAGTTGTTATTGTTAAGTACCTTTGAGTCAGTTTAGACTCATTGTGAGCATATGCACAACAGAATGAAACACATCCTACAACATCCTCACAACTGTTGTTACATTTAAGCCCACTGCTGTTGCCACTACATCAATACATTTCATTGGAGGTCTTCATTGATTTCGATGACCCTATACAGTTTACCAGTACTCCTCCAGGGACTGACCCCTCCTGACAATCTGTCCCATGTAGGAGAGGGGAAGTCTCGCCATTTAGGCTTCTGAGGAGCTTTCTGGCTGTACTTCTTCCAATACAAATTTGTTTGTTCTTCTTTTGATATTTGTGATCAACACCATTACCCAAATGCATCATTTCTTCTACAGTCTTCCTTACTCATTGTCCAACTTTCATATGCATATGATGTGACTGAAAATACCATACCTTGGGTCAGGTACACCTTAGTCCACAAACTGGCATTTTTGCTCTTCAACACTTTAAAGAGGTCTTGTGCAGCAGAATTGTCTAATGCACTATGTCCTTTGATTTCTTAACTACTGTTTCCACGATGTTGGTAGTGAATCCAAGCAAAATATAAAGCCTTTGACAACTTCAATTTTTTTCTCCATTTATCATGATGTTATTTATTGGTCCCATGGTAAGGATTTTTGTTTTCTTTACAGTGAGGTGCAACCCATACTGATCTTCATCAGTAAGTATTTTAAGTCTTCTTCACTTTAAGAAGCAAGGTTGCATAAATGTGCATATCACAGGTTGTTAACAAACCTTCCTCCATTCCTGATACCAAGTTCTTTTACATATAATCCAGTTTCTTGGATTATCTACTCAGAATACAGATTGAATAAATACAGTGAAAGAATACAACCTGGCACACAACTTTCCTGATTTTAAACAATTCAGCATCCCCTTATCCTGTTTGAACGACTGCCTCTTGGTCTATGCATAGGTTCCTCATAAGCAAAATTAAGTGTTCTAAAGTATATATTCTTTGCAATGTTGTCCATGGTTATCAAGATCCACACAATAGGAAGCCTTTGCATAGTCAATAAAGCACAAATAAGCATCTTTCTGGTATTCTCTGTTTTCCATCAAGATCTATTTGATATCAGTAATGATATCTCTATTTCATGTCCTTGTCTGAATCTGGCTTCAGCCTCTGAAGTTCCCTGTTGCAATGATGCAGTCATTTTTAAATGATCTTTACCCAAATTTTACTTGCATGTGATATTAATGATATTGTCTGATGAGTTCCACATTCTGTTGGGTCACCTCTCTTTGGAATGGGCACCATCAGTTGGTCAGGTAGCTGTCTTCCAAATAGATGAGTGAGTGCCTCCAGTGCTGCATCAGTTTGTTGAAAGATTTCAATTTGAATTCCGTCAATTCCTGGAGCCTGTTCTTTATCAATGCCTTCAGTATACCTCGGGTTTCTGTAAGTAAAATTGGCTCTTGATCATATATGCTACCTCTTGAACACCGATCATTTCTTTTTGGTACCATGATTCTGAGTATTCCTTTCATCTTCTTTTGATGCTTTCTGCATCAGCCAATGTTTTGTTAGGTGCCGTTGAGTCAGTTCTGACTCATAGAGACCTTATGCACAACAGACATGAAACACTGGCTGATCCTGAGCCACCTTTACAATTGTTATTAAGCTTGAGCCCATTGCTGCTGCCACTGTGCCAATCCATCTCATTGGGGTCTCCTTCTTTTTCACTGACCCACTGTACCACATATGATGTCCTTCTCCAGGGTCTGGTCTCTCCTAATAATATGTCCCAAGTATGAGAGACACAGTCTGGACATCTTGGCTTCTAAGGACATTCTGGTTATACTTCTTTAAACACAGATTTGTTATTTCTTTCTGGCAGTTAACGGTACTTTTAAGGTTCTTCTCTAACACCGTGACTCAAAGGCATCAATTCTTCTACAGTCTTCTTTATTCACTGAGCAACTGTCACATGCATATGAGGCTACTGAAAACACAATGCCTGGGTCACCTTTGAACTCAAACTGGTATCTTTGCTCTTGAACACTCTAAAGAGTCTTGTGCAATAGATTTGATTCATGCAAAATGGTGCTGGGTTACTTGACTTGCTTCCATGAGAGGTAATGGTGGAACAAAGCAAAATGAAGTCTGACAATTACAATCTTTTCTCCATTTATCATGGTATTATTGATTGGTCCAATTGTGAGGATTTTTGTTTTCTTTCTATTGACGTGCAACCCATACTGAAGGCTGTGGTCTTTGATGTTCATCAGTAATTAAGTATTTTAAGTCCTCTTCGCTTTCAGAAAGTAAGGTTGTATCATTTGCATATCACAGATTGTTAATGAGCCCGCCTCCAATCCATTTGCCACATTCTTCTTCATATCATCCAACTTCTCAGATTATTTGTTCAGCAAATAGATTGAATAAATATGGTGATAGAATGCAGCCCTGGCACACACCTTTCCTGATTTAAGCCATACTATGTCTCCTTGTTCTGTTCAAACCAAAGCCTCTTGATCTGTTCACAGGTTCCTCATGAGTCCTTCAATATTGCAGTTGATGCTTGAATTTTTTTCCTCAGTTATTTCAGTTTGAGAAATGCTGAACATTACCTTCCACTTCGGTTTTCTAACTCCAGGTCTTTATACATTTCATTCTAATACTTGACTTTGTCTTTTCGAGCTGCTCTTTGAAATCTTCTGTTCAACTATTTTAACTCCTCATTTTTTTCATTTGCTTTAGCATCTCTATGCTGGAGACCAAGATTCAGAGTCTCTTTTGTCATCCATTTGGTCATTGTCTTCTTTTTTGTTTTCTTAATGACTTTTTGCTTTCATGTCATTCCACAACTCTTTGGTCTTCAGTCATTAATGTCTAATGCCTCAAAACTGTTCTTCAGAAGATCTCTAAATTTAGGTGGGATGTGTTCAAGATCATACT